AGCTAACGCACCGTATGCAAAGAGTTCTGCGCGACTTTATCAGGCAGGCCGATGTTGGAAACAAGCAAATACGCGACTCTATTTGCATCCAAGCACGTCTGCTTTGGCTTGCACCTGAAACCATCGGAAACTACCACTTTCTGCGTCTCTATCTAGGAGAACAACAAGCACCAGAACCCTTACGCCAGCAACAACAGGTACAAACAATCAACATCCTGATGAATATATACCTGCTAATCTCGACTTGCAACAATGCCATCATTTTTAGGAGTTTCAAGCTGCACAGCGTGACGATCCATTCGAAGCAAACCAGTATCTTATCACTCTCTCTCTCTACGGAGTGTCGCCCAACGATCCACAACTACCAGCGACAGGCAGCGTCATTTCCTTCTCGCCCACCGAATTCAGTATTTACCGGAACTGCTGCCAAGTGAATGCGAAACTATCGGCTATCAAAACAATCAACGATCCCTGAATCATGACTCCTGGCAGGCACATTCATTCAAATCCGCACACAATGTAATTAGCATTTATTCACTCATTCCACATTATTTATTCATGATCTAAACCGTACACCAACTCACCTTGACATTTCACGATAGGAGACGGACTATTCCATCTCAACGACACCACCTTGGAGACTTTCCAGCAATCAATCACTGAAGCTACCATAATTCTTTTCACCGCCAAACCAGCTACATTCAATGACCCACCGCCCCCTCAGCATCTTCTATTAAAAAAAAACTTTAGCAACGAACTGCGAACTCCGGCCGGTGGCCAATACGGGTGAGGGCTTTATTGGTCTGACTCTTTCTAAGCGCTAATTGCTATGTACAGTAGGTCCTTGAAACTCTTATAGATTCCAATATCACCAGCTTGCAAGTAAGACGTGAGGCCATCCAGGCACAGCACACATCGAATACTTTTCGAAGTGCACTTAGCTTTCACAGCCTTCGATATGTGGGCTCTCATGCTGTCCCAAACCAAGCAATTACGTTCACCGTGCATCACAAATGGAATAGTCACATCAATCCACTTCTTGAGCAGCTCGCTATCAACCCAAGCTCGGGTTTGGTGTGCCACGAAAAGTGGCCCTGACTTTGTTTTCAAAAGACGGTGAAAATTTTCCTTTCCAGACCAAAGGCATGTAGCACCCCACAGGACACTATTCGGAAGGGGGCTTTATTCGGGCGCATCCGTTGGTCGTAAACTTTGTAGTTCATTCATATCTCTACTACCACCTTCTTCATATCCGGGCTTAGACGACCCACCCTCGCCTAATTTTAAAATCAACACCCGCTGCTTTTGCAGTGTAGCCCGCCAATTCCGCTCAGAATTAAGATCCCCGTCAATTTCGCAAGTTAGTTCGTTGCTCCTTCCAGCTATGGGGTCGTCTGATAAATATGCATAGGGAAATCAAAGCGATCCGGTGATTTCTCAACTGTTCCTCCATTCCCTGTGATCCAATATAAAGGGTAATATGAAGTGTAAGACACGCCTTTTTTAGGGATCTTCTATATTGGCGGTTCTCAGTTTTGACAGCAGCAAGATGAGCTCCACAAATCACTCTTAAATAATATGATCGAGGGAACTACGAGCCTCATTTTGTGAAGGCAGCAAGAAGGCTCCCGTAGCAAGAAACCCCAACAACTAACAAACAAACAAACATACAAAGACAGGTATGCCACGTAAATCAACGAGGGCAGGGATAATTGGTGCATATTCGCGGATTCTGAACCGTATTCTGCTTGACCGACGAGCTCGGAAACTACATTGCATCCATGATGACGATCTAGGTCGAAGGGACGCTGCTCTTCTGGCACGATTTTACGAGTTTATTAACTGTCTCTACACGGTTCTCAGGGTCCGGATATGGTGACAGCCACGATTTCATTGGTTTGAGTCTGAATGCAGTGATCGCGATTTCTTGCGGTCTTTTCGAATAGAGCGCTACGCTTTTAGCATGCTGGTCGAGTTGATTCAGGAAAATCCGTCTTTCAGGCTAGAGACGGTATAAAGATCATGGCTTCCCTATCTGCACAGCTGTTGGTGTTTTTGAAGTACATTGGCACGCTAGGCTCGGGTGCTTGCGTCGAGCAATTGGGACAGTCATTTAATGTGAGCAGTAGCGTTTGCTTTGGCTGTATTGAGCGGACCTCGCGTGCAATTTTATCTCTGTATAACGACGTCGTGTATTGGCCGTCTGTCGACTCGCACGCAATACCAGAGCCAGTATTAGCTAAGAAATCAGATGCCGTTTGAGAACTTTGCTCCAGAGCACCTATCTTCGTGACGATGTCCTTAAGCTTACGGGGATGAGAGGTCTTTGTGTCGCAGTTCTGCTTGTCACCGCCACGCCACTTCTTGCAATTGCCCCCCCTCGCTGAGCCAGTTGAGCAGCACACTCAAGGAGCTTATCGACGGAGTAGGACCGTCCGTGTTCCACAGCATACGGCGGTTAGCCTAGGCCTTCTTCGCCCTTCCGGTTCGTCCGTCTAACGTCGATCGTTTGGTGCTGCTGGGCGACATACGGGCCGTGTTTTCGTCGTACACTGGGATGTTAGGCGATGCTGTTCTAATCTGGGGGCTCGAAGCTGTAGGCGGCGACGCGGCGGGTGTCGTAGGAAGGGAGAGTGCAGGTGTTGAAGGTCTGCCTTCGTGCGGAGTTGTTTGTTCTACCATCCGTTTTGTTCGACAGTGTATCTTGCTGCTGCGGGGGCTATCCTGCTATCAAAATCGTGGCAGGGTAGAAATGGCCGGTAGCAAGATTGAAAAATATTTTTAATCAATCAAAACTTGATATTTTCGCAGGTCGTCTCGTTCTATCTTGCTGCTGCGATAACTGAGAGCCACTATTATACTAGTAGTATTCAGAATGGTATGATGAGTAAAAGAGGTTATACGTATACGCTTTGGACTAAGCTTACATGTCATGCGAACCAAGAAAATAGGTCACCCAGTAAACTGACGTTTTGTCCAAAGCTAGTACTTATACCCTCTCACGATACTTTTCAATACAACCCGATCGGTACAAGGGTGCTTTCATGATGTAACCATGGCGTATTCCCTATCCACCGTTTGTTTGAATGTTTTCGAGATAAAAGTACCGTATCGTCTTAGTAATAGGCGACGTTTGGTCCTAAGCGACAGACCTCTTAAGCCATTAGGAAGATCTGAAAAAAACAGAAAGTGAAAATTAACGGTCTGCTAATCTTAAGTATTTAAGAAACCAATTCGTTCCGGCAGACTTGAATCAGGATGGCACGGCCCACCATCAAGGGCACGAAAAAGAAGCGCAAACAGTACGAGCGACTTCGTGTTGAGTATGACCACAAGCAAGAGATCTCAACTACTTAGAAACAGACCATACGCCTAGTGAAGCTTTGAGCTTCTTCTACAGTACTTTGACCGGCAAGGGGCGACGATCAAAGCAGCAACTGATAAGTAAATGGCGTGGTAACGTTGCGACGATAAAATCGGCTTGCGAAAGCGGACATTCACTCCACCTCAACCTTCGTGAGCGTGGCACGGCAACAGTGCTCCCAAAAGAGGCTGAAGAAGACATTGTTCTGTGGATCAATTCTCTTAGAAAGGACGGCGTGCCGGTGTCGCGCGATGATGAAACTTAAGAGTTTGGAGGTGGCAGAGGACTATGGCCTTAGTAAAGATCAGTTTTCGGCGTCCCCATCGTGGATGAAGATGTTTATGTGCCACCATAATCTGTCTCTTTGATCCAGGACGCGCTAAGAGCAAACAACCACTGAAGACGTAGCACAAGTCTCCAAGAGCTTAGGTCAAAGGTACAGCAAACAATTGCTGAATACAACTGTGTTCAGGTATTTAATGCAGACCAAACGAATAAGTTCGAAATTGTACTCTCCTTTTTATTATAATATAATAACGCTTTCGCTTAATGTATCCGTTTTTTCGAGTACGTTCCTAAGCGAACAATTACAGATAATGATACGAGGACGGTTTGGATTCATTGCGGAAATAAGGACAAACAAAGGGCGACAGCTATGCTACTTGGCGATTCAAGTAGAAACAAATTTGATACTTTTGTTTTGTTTAAAGCCGCACCGTCCAAAACAAAAGGCAAGCAGAAAAAATGACAGCTTGCGAAACGGGTTTGGTACAACCGTTTAACGAGAAATCAAAATATTTCAGGATAATTATCCCTGTAGAATTTACGGCAACAACACGGCATAGTGGAACGAGAAACTTTCGATCAAATTTTTGGAGTATCATTTCGCTTACCGTGAAAATCGTCACGAAAATGTGCTTTCCTATGGGACGACTTTAGCGCACATTGGACCCAGGCCGTTCGTGATTTCGCAGCTTCTCTAAATGTTGTTCTGCTCAAGGTGCCCCCCAAGTATACCTATGTGTGTCAGCCTGCTGGCATCTCGTGAAAATAAACCTTTTAAAAGTATGCTTTGCGCACTGTGGACCGATTCTATTAGACAGCAGCTTCGTACATACAACAGCGATGAACAAGAGCGACTTCAACGCAAAAAAAAGCGAATTGAAGATGAAATTTTGCTTGCTCAAACAAAACTTGATCAAGAAAATGCGAGTCGGAAAGTGGCTACCCTTAGAAAAAAGCTCGATGTGGAAAAGTTTTCGCTGGTCGCTCCATCAAGACCTGTGATGGCGGAATGGCTCACTTCTTGCCGGTCGAAATTGTCGTCTAAGACAATAATTAGTGGTTTGCGAGGGCAGGCTTCCTTACTGATGTTCGGGAGGTCGACATAGAAGAAGATATCGCCGAGCAACTCGACACTATTGTTACCGAATAAGAGCGCTACAAAATTGAAGATAGAAAAAATCACTTCTGACGATGATATAGGAAACGAATACAACGGTGCTGAGGACGGTAGTGATATTGAGGACAAGTAATACATAACTTTTCACTTAAAATGTTTATCGTGTGCTTACCCATAATCTAAATAGTTACTTTGCTCATCTTAAATCTTGGGATTTGAATTACTAACTCGTTACACCCTATGTCTGCCCATTGTCGCCAACGACAAAGACGATACGGTAATCGAAACGCACTCACACAGTAGGAACTGCTCTTATTAGACTGCCTTTTACACAAGCTTTCCGATAAGACACGAATCGCAGCTGCTCAATAATTATCCTGCCGTTTTTGCCACCCACGGAATCGGAGATAACGTATAATAGCGAATAGTGCTCCCCCTCGCGAATAAAACGACCTCCTAATTGAGCGCCCTGTTTGAGAACACTTTATAGAAATAGACAGCTATTTAATACAACGCGCTGTCGTAGACATTTTACAATTCTAAAAATTTTACAGAATTTTTTCCGCTCATTTTTAAGCCCATCGTCTTGAAGACGATGGGCTTAAAAAATGAGCTGAAAATGAGCTGAAAGAATTCTGTAAAAATTTATTATTAAAATAAAAAAATAGAATCAGTTCAGCTAATAGCTCGCTACCAGTTAATTACGATC